AATATGGCCTTGGTAATACATGTTAAAGAGTCACTGTTTGATTCTACCAACTGTAATATTTCCGAGTTAATGCAAGGGGTGCAGGGGGAAGCAATAAATAACAAACAAAACACCAAAGTTCTTGTTGGGGTTTATACTGAGATATTTACAGGTAAAATGTCACCATACCTGAGGTTTCCTTTAAAATATCTTAGGGTACAAAAAATGGGGGGGGACATATGAGTGGCAAAATATTGGTAATTATTGAAACTAATTATTGAAATTAATAGGTAGACTTGAGATTCATTGTACCAGTCTCTAGTTTTGTGTAATGAACGCATGTGGTTAGTAATAAGTAAAAAGAGTCAAAGATACTGAAAAAATAGGTAACGATCAAGATGATTCCAAGTAAAAGGCTAGAGGTAGTTAATGTGGTAAGCGCATGATGAAGTATGACAAAGACTCGGATGAAGTGTAGAAGTGAGGTTCATATACCCTTGAGAAAGGCAACCTTAGAGACTGCCTAGAATTTAGGACTGAGGCAGAGAGAAGGTGAGGAGCAGCAGAGAGCAAGAGCACTCAAGTAAGATGCACAGAATGGCACTTCCTATGGGGATCACAAATGTTTGCAAACTAGAGTAATACGTCATTCTTTATGTCTGGATTGTATCTCTTCGTCTACCTCCTTCTCCCATGCTGTGACTCAATGTGAAGCATCCTAATAAAGGCTAAGATTGTGATCTCTCCTCCCAGTGATTACTGCAGGAGTTATATCTCACCATTGTTTATCTATAAAGCCTTCTTTTAGAAATGAATTGCTAGAATTTAAGAGACTTTTCATGGCTTTCATCTCACTTGATAAATATGAAAACAGAAAAAGAGACCTCTGAACTTGGTGTCATGCTAGGGTGCACAGGTTAGGCGATCCACCGAAGACCCACCTGCCTCATCACATCCAAGAGAGCAACTACAGGAGCAATTTTGCACAATCAGATGGACGGCTGAATACTAAAGAGGATGATAAACTAGAATGAAATGAGACATTGAAAGCAATTTCTTTTAGGCTTACCAGGAACCTTCAGATTTACACAAACAATTGCATTTAAAGAATTTTGGGGGGAAATGCTGTAGTATGACGGGTGTCCTTAAAAAGAGAACTTGACACATGCTATAGCCTTTATAGTCACCATTCACTTGGTTGGTCCAAATATTTATAGTTCATTGTTATGACTGCCAAAACTGGCAACCACAGGATTGTTGTCTCAATTAGGACAGTAAACAGATTGTCTCTTTTTTTAATGAAAAAATCTAAAATGTAAAACTTCACAGTTTAACATGTTTATTCATCCAAACGAGCTAAAAAATAATGGCGTGACATCTGCTCGAGAGGCACTGGCACCTCGAGTTTTGGCTGCCTCCCCGCCAAATCGGTTGTTGTTTTAGGAAACGAAGAATAGGGGGAGGTGCTGTCATCACAAAAAAATCTCCTGGCATTTAAAGGATCTTATTTTTCTTAAAATAAGGATCTCAAGTCTGTTGCCTGGTGATAAAAAAATTAACAAGGAGGCACAATGCAGAATCCAGCAGCACTGCCACGTTTTAAATGAATTTACTGACTCACTATGGATAATTCCTCACGGCTCTAGTTCTTTAAGGGACTCTCCCGCATCCCTCTATACCTGCATAGCTAGACCCTGTACAAAACAGTAAGAATGTTTCTGTAGGTAGTGAATTCATCTGCTACAGTTTTCACTGGGGATGGCACTAGCTCTGGATATGATGTCAAAGAAACAGTGTAGCAAACATTACTCTAGCGAGTCTGCACTGGAGCGGACCTAATAAAGGAAGGCAGTGCTGCTAGGGAAGAAGTGGTAGAAATCTCCCCAGAGAAGCCTCCGGTAAGTATCAAGAAACCTAATTGTTGGTAAGGAAAAAGAAAAGACACTTTAGTCAGTCTCTGGCTTGACGATCTTATGTTATGAATAAATTAAAATTTAAAATTTAAGTTTAATTTACAGAAGTTTACTTTTGAAGTTTACCTAAAGCACGATTTATACTACTAAATAATCATTGACTACACATTTTAAAATCATGGAAAATATCATGCTTTAGTGTTCACATAAATAGAAACATAATAATGAAAATTTATTTGTATTTTCATAGGGAATGAAGAGGTATATACTAAGTTATATTAAAAACATTGCGTATGGTCTTAAACAATACTAAGATAAAAATAATATATCTGATTTCCTAGAAAAGAGAAATTCCTTTATTCCAGAGTAAATGTAATACTAGTTGTCTTGAGCTCAAAGAGAACCAGGATGAAACACATATATGTCCAAATACAACCTATGACCATAAATGCCAACTGTGGACTTGATTAATATTGTGGTTTTTAATTTATTAACTGCAAGTAATTTTGATCATCTGTCACATACAAAAAGCTGTGTTAGACTCTAAGGGGACTAACAATATTAACTGAAATTTTAATATGCCTTTATGAAGTATGGGTAGATCACTTTATTACTGGAATTACAAAACTGAGTAAGAACATATTACCAGAATCTTGCATCATTGGTTGGATGGGAGTATTCCTTCTGTCTTTAAGAAATACTGAAGATCGAAAATCTTCACATTTTTTGCCACCTTAAAACAATAACAAAACCTATGCTGGTACTAAGATAGGTTTTTATAGGGCACCTGTCTGCGTGGCATGGCAAGTGCAGCCCAGCCCGATCCAGAAAACCAGCAGGAGCGAGTCGGCACGCGGGAACCCAGCCCAGGGGTCAGTTTTCCTGTGGGGAACCAGGACTGCATTGTATCTAGGCTGCTATGAGGCTTGCTTTTTGCTAAAACTCTCTCACCCTGAATTGAGGCAGAAAATGTTTACTGCATATCTTTAAAGTAAGTTCCTAAAATCTGTGCTAAACCTCTCAAGGATGGAGTGTAACCAGCTCAATCACTTTTCCCCTTGCGTTTGCAAATATCCTTTTTCTTTGTAGTAATCAGCAACCTCTTCTCCTTTGTTATCTGTAAAAGGTAACCAGCTAAAGCGAACTTGTGCATAGTAAATGAGGACTATCCTTGATGTAATGTGCCCAGAAAAGCAATACAGGCCTGTCCAGGGCCCTCTCACTCAGAGAGTGGCTGCGCCGTCCCTTTTTCTACACAGGACTTCTGTAGTCCGTATGAATTTGTTCGTCGCAGCCACAACACACGGACCCCGCTGGGTGGAGTCCACATCAGTTTTTTTGTTCGTTTGTTTTAAAAGAAATTCTAGATGAGGTTATATTTCTTACATTTGCTCTCAAGTGCATTTCATTTTACATTCTTGATTTTATATGCAAAATAGGAGCCAGCAACCCTTCCAGCTTCATTCACATAGGCTATATGTTAAGTCTGCTGAGTTAGTAGCAATTTATTTGGCAGAATATGTTAACAGACTCTAACATTCTGAAAAGTCATTATACTTTTTTTGTCTTTGTCTTCTGAATTTCTCTGAGCAGTCAATTATTGGAGGGGGAAAAACATGCTTAAAATGTGTCGGGTGCCAGTCTCCGATTTATGCCAAACACCACTTACTACTCAAAAGTGTGGTCCCCTGAAACTGCAGGCTGACTATCACCTCTTCAAAGACTGAAACCAGAGTTCGGTCTGGGATTTCTCTCCAGAGGACAGCCAGCTTCTCAGTTAACGTGAGTATGAAGACTTGCACTTCACAAAAACAGTAGTACATAAACATACATTGTTTCATTTTACCTGCTACTTATTAAAATCAGAGTTTTTAGCCTTTGGGACTTAAAATTGTCTGAGGTCATTATGAATCAACCAGTTATACAAATGGACTAGCCATAGGTTCAGGGTGTCAGACAACTAAGTAATGAAACTTGACTATAGTTACACTACGCTTAGACTAATATTTTTTGCTATCAGAAGGAACATTTTAATCAAATAACTATGTTGTACACCTGAAACTAATATAATATTGTATATTAACTGTACTTTTAAAAAGAAATATTTTTCCCCAAAAGAATACCTCAAGGATAGAATAGGGTAGTGAAGTCCCCCCCGCCCAGGGTAATGAACATAAAGACATTTCCAAGAGTATCATTATCTATTTTATATACTGCGAATTCTATTACATCTCGCTTGAATTGGTATGTAATAAACAATTCGTACATATCCTCTCATTTAAATTGCCACTGAAATTAACAATGACTCTATTTAATAAGAATGTTTTTTAACACCATATGGGAGGGGAAATAACGACATGAAAACCGTTCACGTAAATGTGATAGGAGCGGGAAAAAGTATTTCTTGACATGTGGCATGTCACTCGGGAAAGGAGAAGGCCCATCATATCCAAAATGCCAGCTTGGATATTCCCCTGCCACCCACTTCACAAACAGACACACCACATGGCATTAAATGCTGTAACCTTTCCTAAAAATGCCACTTGGATTGGTCTGCGGTGGTGCGTGTGTAAGAACTCTTGGTCTGTCTCTTGAGTTTGTGATTTCAAGGGACAGAATCCAGAAAATAACACTGGCTAAATTGTGCCCTCTGATATTTGACATAAATGATTTGTGAGGATATTGGAAATTTTGGCTGTTTTTACACTGATGAATAATTATGCTACTTGAAAACATTCTGCAGAACATAATGCTACAGTCACATCAACTATTTGCACAAGTCTCGAAGAATATGGAGGGTATTTATGAAAGCTTGCCTCCCTTGGCAAGTACGGAAGCAATCTTAACATTTTATTTTCTCTTCATAAATACAATGTGTACACTATGAAACACTGTGCACATGTTTCGCACTATCCAATGCCTAGAAAACTTTATGTAAGGTAGTGGCTAACAATGCTGCGAAATATGTGTTTTTCCATTTTCTAAGCTTTATGCATTCATGGGCTCTAAAAATATGGAAAAATTCAATTACCGTAAAAATATTGAATATATGTGTCATTATATTGCAACAAATGCAAAATACCTTGCAAAAATTATGTAAACAGAAAACTGCATATGCAAGTAATATGAGACATATTTTATTCTGTTTATTTTTCATGAAAGAGTTCTACATGATTATCTGACAAGAGACAAAATGTAATTTTTAAAAACAACTTTGTACTGTTCAGCTTTAAGAGATAAACCACGAAGATTACTCTGAGGAGGTAGGACTTCTGTTATTGTTCCGGGAAGGGGACCGCACAATTACACGACAGATTGCGACATACCTCCCTAACAAGAAGAGCAAACCGATGCTGCAAGCAGCCAGAACAACATAATTAGAATAGAATTCCAAGTTTATATTAATAGAGTAATCAGTTAATTAAAATCAATATCAACTGAACTTTCTATTTACATCGGTTTAGACAGCCTAAGAGGAAAGGAACTGTGTTTTAGAGACATATGCGGCTCTTTGCGCTTCTGTCATCCAGGTGCCATTTCTGATGGAGCACATGTGCGCTGAGCAGTTGGCAGAGGAGGAAAAAGATTACTGTAGATGTATGTGCAGATAGTCTCCCTAATGATGCAAAATATGTCTGGAAAGAAAGCAGGACTTTTTCATAAAATGAAAAGTCTCCCATGACTCTCGTTCCTTCTTCAGCTTTGAGTGTGTTTTGTAAATAAGGATATATACTTTTACTTCTCATATATATGTGAACAAAAACAGATTTAGTAATCTGTAAGTGATGGAGTAATACACATAGGTTGGCTGACACATCTGAAGAATTTGGGGTGTTTTCCATTTTATCTAAATGCACAATGGTTGCCTGTCAAAGTAGAAAGATTTATAAACGTATTTGGTAGCATACATTATGCTACATTGCTAGGTTAAGGTTCTTTTCTTGACATATTATGCAACTATTTAAAAAGATATATCTGCAAACTGAAAATACCAGCAAAAAGAATTCAAGATGTTGTAGTTTCAGTATTTCGGAAAGCACTGGTCCCAAGAGGTGCTTTCATAAAATGATCTCCTCATAATGCATGGATTGCTGCTCAGCTAATCTTCGTCAGATTCCAGATCAGGGTCAACATCTGCAGTCAGTCTGAGATAAAAGAAAGCGTACACAGCCAGCAGGAGGGCCAGTATAGCTGCCAGTAGAAGGCCAACTTCCTGAGGAAGAAAAACAAAAACTGGGCTTGATGAAATGAGACTGGCTAATGTTATCAGTTTATCATTAAAACAGCCATACACCTCCACAGTCTAGAATGAACAATTTGAACCTAATAATCATATTAATTTGTAACACTCTTTGCCATTAAGAAGCTTATTTGTACTTGACAAGAGCCATTTCAAGTACATCAGTGGGCAAGTCATTTCTATTACTTTTTTTAAATTGGTGAATTACTAATAGTAAAATTAACATTTATACTTTTCAATGATTTTCTTTTTAAAATAATTTATTATTTTTAAAGATTTTGTTTATTTCTTTTTAGACGGAGGGGAAGAGAGGGAGAGGAACATCAATGTGTGGTTGCCTCTCGCACGCCCCCTACTGGGGACTTGGCCAGCAAACCAGGCATGTGCCCTGACTGGGAATTGAACCAGCGACCCTTTGGTTCGCAGGCCAGTACTCAATCCACTGAGCCACACCAGCCAGGGCTATACTTTTCAATAATTTTCATAGTTTGGATATAAAAATGTTGGGGGCAAGCAATGTAATATAGATTGTGCCTACAAAGTTTATCTATAATTTATTTGGTTTAATTTTATTTCTTGCTTCAGTAAATTCATTATTAGTTACAGCAATTGGATAAAGTTTTTTAAATGATCATTTCTTAATGAGAAGAAACTATTATAACCAGTTTCTAGATTATGCCTCTTTAAACATCTTTATTCATTATTATTTGCTGAGCCTCTAATTTTCATATTCTAAAACCTATGGTTCAGAACGTGCTGGCACGAAACTGAGCACACGGCACATGAAGCGCGCGGGGTGATTTATCACAGCTGTGAAGGGCGGGCCTGGCTGCTTCCTTTGCTGATTTAATGTGCATCATATCGATCAATTACGTTGAACTCATAGCCAAAATATTTACTACATATACAATGGCAAAATTCATATTATAGCTCAAAAATTCTATGTTTAAAATATATACACACCATCAAGGAACTTCCTCAATATTAACACAATGTTTGGCTAAACAGAAAAAAGAGTAAATAGTGCCAGTTCACTTTCCTAAAGAGCCTAATATCTCCTTCTAATTTTCATTCATTTATTATACCCTTTCCTGGCATTATTTTATGAAAAAGTAATTTATTTGCATTTACATGAATGCGTTTCACATTTCATAAGAACGCAGTATCAATAGTTCAACATATGCTGACTAAACATTGAAAACATTAAAGTGAATATGGTTTATAAGCATGAAAACCTGAAAGTTGAAATTACAAATGGATACCCTATACAGATGTAGCTCCTAATTACATTTATTTAAATTTCCAAACTATAAAAATAAATATGAATGAAAACTAGGGAGTGAAAGACTCAGTGCCAACTCTTTTTCTAAGGTTTAATATTTCAATCTAATATATCAATGTTATGACGAATGAAAGTGAATTTTTCTTTGCTGAAGTTTGTAACACGCTGGCATCTCAAAAGGGCACGGTAGACTCAAACAGGTTTCATTTATTTCCTTCCACCCACAGCTGCGCTCCCAGACCCATCTGGTTACACAGCAGCCAATTTTCAGAGGATGCAGTGAACAAGCGATACACAACTGCAGAACCCATCTGTCCTGCACAGGGACAGCAAAACTGTTCAGCAGCAGAGAGGACCGTTCACACACGTTCAATGCAAGACGAACGTTTTCCCTCTTGATTGGAGGCCGTCGTTCTCATTTCATTGATAATCACCTCTCACTGGCGCTTTTCAACAACTTGTCTTTTCAAACAACTTATTTAATTTCTGAATTAATAACAAAGGTACGAGTAAAATTTACAGACAAAATATGTTGAGGTTATGTAATGTGTTGAAAACTTTACAACACTAATAATACTATTACAAAACACTACCTCCACAGCAAAACTGAGAGCATTCTGTAATATATAATGTAATTACACAATGCAAACTTAGCTGAGGTAGGGGATCTTCAGGCCAATGACAAACATCCAAGGAAAGTCCAAGGAAATTAGTACTTCAAAGAAATACTTTCTCAACCTACTCATGATTCATAAATGACTTCGATGTGCTAAGTTCAATGTCAAGTGCTTCCATTTTATTACTGAACTCTCCTGACAACACTGTGAAGCAACGGGCATAATCACTTCACAGATTTGCCAGCGTGTGCCCAGCCAGGTTGTGGTACGAGACAAGAAGGGTTTGATCCTAGGCCTCTTTATTTTCTGTTCAGGGTTTGCATAGCTGTGACTTTTCTGTTCCATGCAGCTATTCATATTTTCTGCATATTAAAATTATTTTAAGAGCATAACTCTGATTTATTTTAAAGAACAAGTACTGAAGTAATAAAATATAATATTATGGCCATCCCATATCAACTAGGTAAGAGTCAAGTGTATTTGATGTTCATTAGTCCCTAGCTGCTTCTCTGACATTATCAATATGGATAAAATCACTCACTGGGGAAATTAAATAGCATTACATAGCAATTGCTAAAAGAAACTTCGTTATTTAAAATCCTATGCTAAAATGACAACGCAATCAAAATTTGACAGGGCAAACTAATTAGTATGCCAGATTTGAAATGTAAAACATCTCCATGGTTCTGATTTTTAAAAGTTTCCTATTATTTTAATGAGCCCTTTACGTAAACTTCAAGCAAAGTAAACAATGGTTAAAGTTAAGGCTTTTTCCCCATAGGTTCATAAGTTTAAATGTGCCAGCTTATTTTTTAAAAACTCATGTTCTGATGTCAGAAACTCTTCTATACATACTTCAAACTGTAAATGAAATCTAAGAAAAACTTCTCATAAAAACTTCACATTACTTTTAAAAAGACAAAGAATTGCACTATAAGGTAGACTTATACTGGGAACACAGCTATTTCCTTAAATTAAAACAACACCAAAAACTGTAAGACTATATAAAAAAAGAGGGTATGTATGAGGAAGTGGTATATATTTGTAGACAAATGGCTACACCGTTTTTCAAATTCTGCTTGACAGCTGTTCCTTATATTGTGCCACAAGCGAAGTTTGCCACCCCAATGTTTTTCTTAAAAAGATAACAAAAACAAAGAACAAAAGAAAACTAAAACACCACATTGGGAAAGATAAAAGTACCTGTCATATTCCTTTGGTGAAAAATGACAGATGCTCTCGTTACAAGACACGCTAACCAGGTAACTCATTGTACAATAATAAAACCAAGCACTGCTTTTAGAAAGGTCATATCACGGAAATAATTTTAAAATAAATGAAATTTCATATGAAATTAGAAGAAAACTTCAAAAGATTAATCATCTCTCTTTTCAACAAAAAAGCAATTCACTTTTTTCCCCCCATTAAAAACTGACAGCAGTAACTCAGGAGACTGCATTACAAAAACATACCGCATCACACGGCAATGGTTGATCAAAATCAACAATTAAGAGCAAAAGAAGGCAGTGTTTCATAATCATAATAGCAAATTCTGGAAGACAACCAAATATGTCATCTGGCAGCTCAACAGCTGTTACAGCTTCGTGGTAATACCTTGGCATTTGCTATCAGCTGTAACTTAGAAAAATTGATTTTTCTTGTGTGTCAGATAGAAAACCAAAATCTCCTTTTAATATTCTAATATTTAAATAAAATATAAGTACTAGTCATTAAAGTTTTACACACTAGACAGTGGAGCCACCAAATTAATTTTTCTATTTATAGTTTAATTTGACTCTAAATACTTGGCAAAGAATTGACACAGGTAATAATGGAAATGTAATTGTGTTGAATTTCATTGTACTAACACAATGGATTAATATCTACTAACATCATTCTCAGCTGCATATATCCCTCTTAAGTAGTAAAAACACTGCTTTTCTAAGAGAACAAGTATAGAACTATCATTAGAATTTTATCATGGAGAGCACTGACAACCATAATAATTCAAAGAGTAAATTTACATATATTAATAATCTAAGTATATATAATTACAAGTAAAATTTAAACAACTGTCAAATGAATTTTATTAAAAATGAGAGTTTTTGATTCAGGCCACATAAGTCAGTAAAATGCATATACAGTAGCTAGAGAAAAAATAAATTGTGATTTAAGTACAACTGGTTCTTGCAAGTGATACTGTGCTTTATGTTAAGACCTGGTCAAATCTCAGGACAGGAAGGATGTTGCCCATTAAATAAATTCATTATAAAAATCTTCGATTCTGGCATTCAACTTAGATTTTGAAATGTCATAAAACATTTAGAATTCAACATTTATGCAATCCAGTTTTAGAAAATAAAATGGCATGCATATATCAAATTTTAAAATTTTCTAGTATATGTACCTTTATTCCTATTGCTGTTTTCTTTGCTTCTGCTTTCAATTTTGTAGCTCGTAAAATAAGGTGGGCCTTTTTGTAATCCTGTTTACCTAGAAGAAGATAACTTCAGACAATGAGTTATGCTTATATGTACTTTATGTTCAACAGCCATCTGAAATGTCAAAGACTGTTTTAATAGAGTAAAACCGGCACACAAAGTTACAAAGTAGTTCCCAGTTACGGAGACCACGACCTTGTCTCCCTAAGGTCAACTTTTCTTCCTTCTCCACGTTTTCAGGAAAAAGACTGGACAGGCATTTTTGATTTGCTGTGCAGTGATTATCAAAAAAAATGACAAAAACTTTTAGAGAATAAGATGTTTAAAGTACAGACAGTAAACCTGTGGAAGCATTTGGAAACGGATATGTAAATAAATAAGTATACATAAGATTCCATTAATAGGTAAAGTTAACTTTTTCTTCATAATCTAACAGCTCATTATAAATTTATTTTATTATGGATATATTATTTAAATAATCAACTTCTGAACTATCCTCAAACTTTTCCAAATAATAATCTAAGAACGAAAAAAGAGTCTCTAAATAATTAACTTTTACTCTTTGAATTCATTGGAGAAAAGATATTATTTAGTTTGTTCTTAATAAAAGACATAATATACATGGCTTAACAAAAGATACAGGGCAGATACACTTAGATATTAGTTTTAATCTTCTCCACCACATTTCACAGGAAAAAAAATGCACAAAAATGACTTAGTATCACCAAATTTCTTTTTTTGTGTACTATCTCATGACTTCACTGAGTAATAAAAGAGCTCTTGCAGCCCGTGAAGAAAACAGACTCAACAACAACAAAAGCACTGAGCAGAATATGCACTTTGGTTAACCTCACCCTCAGCTAGGAGCTGGGTCAATGAGTCTCAGACGTAACAGTGTAACCTGTCATTCTGAGTGGGCGTCCACATTTGAGCCGCAGTTTTACATTGGCACGCAGCCCTGTTATTTCCATCTTACTGTCTCTCCTTTCGGTGGCTGGTTCCTTTCCAAAACTTCCCCCTTTACTTTAATTTCCACATCTTCCACACGCTGAAATAAATTTGAAAGCAGTTGATCTAAACTAAAATAAATCATGAAAATTCAATGTGCGATGTATTTCTTCATGTGTCTGCTAATGATTCAAATTTATGTTTAAAATTCCTAAAAAGTTTTTAAAATTAGAAATGGCAGAGAAGTGAGTCAATGGGATGGGAGTAATGAAGATATGCTATAGACGCATTCGCTAGACACATAAAAGTGTTTGTTTGGCCGGAGGTCATTTTTTTAAGAGAAAGAGTACATGCTATGTTCTAAACCACTGTTGCATAGCAGTCATTCTGGATCTATGCACGTGTGAAAGCTTAATAAATGTTATTTCATGATGCAGGTCTAATAATCCAGAAATAAGTGAATTATAAAAATGTGTATCAAATGATCTAAATTTAAATTATGGAATGAACAAAACACAGAAAAATATTACTCTGACCCATTTAAAATTAGCAACATTTAATTTCATTGGAAAAACCTTGACAAATATTCATTCTGATTTCACATCTCAATGGTCAGACCATTCACGTCATCATTCCTGCTGAGATATGAAACAGTTCAGAACCAAGAAAATGGTGGCACATCAAATGTCTCTGACACCTAGGGTTACAAAGCAAGTTTTTAATGAGAATCTACGATGAAACTGAAAGATTATAGATGTGGGGCCAAAAGTCATCCTTATTTTATCTCATATATCCCCTATAATAATACCTGGGAGCAATGGGGAAAAACAATCAAATGAAAACAGATTAACTTAACCCATATGCTTTTCATAAAACAGATTCAAATATACTTCAAAGAGTCAGTTAAAGTGAGATTTTATTACTCTACTTCACATGCCTTTAACCATTGGTTAAGTAAATATGTTCTATTTTGATACAAATCCTATAATCTCTTAGAGAATAATATTTTAGCTATATATTAAATTTGATATGAACATTTGAAACTGTGTTTTTGAGTAGTTTTAAAAATTATTGCACATCTGGTACTGCTCTAGATACTGAATGTCATTAATTTAGCATTCTCCTTGCTAACTATGATAACTGCGACTTCCGTATATCCAAAAGTATAAACTGAAAAACACCGTTTCAGCTTACTCAATGAAAACATTTATGGTGGCATCTATTAAACTCTTTATAACTAAAACCAGATCTCTCCATTATATCCAAAGAGGTGTTCCAACATTTTATTTTTTCAAAGCTTCAAGAGAGGTACCTATGTTCACCTGATTGTAAAAAAAATACAGAAGCCCCCACTTGTTGAATATTTACAGTTGGAAAAAATACACTTCTAAAATCTAGATTTTATATATAGATGATTTATTTAATACAATTGGGTCTGATTTCTGGTTGTATTAATAATGTAATAGACAAAGTTGGTATTTATTTAGCAATTGCTCATTACACTTTATATGAGGGAAAACATGGACAATTCAAGCCAAATAAACCAATTTGAGGCCTCAAGTCATCTACTTTCTCTATTCTCAATGATACTATTCATGTCATTTCTTCCCAAGGTATAATTTAAGTAACAATAGCATTTCCTCCCATATCTTCTATTGATTGATTTGTGCTTCTGTCCTCCCACATAATCCTGTAACACTTTTATTTTATTGTTTTCATTTTATAGCTTTAAAATAATTTTCAGTTACAGTTGGCATGCAATATTATATTAGTCTCAGGTAAACAAAACAGTAATTATATATTTATATACCTTATAAGGTAATCACCATGATAAGTCTAGTCCTTATCTGACACCATGCATAGAATTATATTCTAATTTTAAATTATCACAGAGTGAAATTGATATTTTTTTCTCTTTTGGTATAGAGTTCTCACTCATGTACAGGTTCATGTAACTAATACCATAATTAGGACACACACTAGTTCTATCATCATGAAAAACACTCCTGTGCTATCCTTCTGTACCCACTCCTCTTCCCACCTGTAATTCCTGGCAACCACTGATCTATTGTTCATTTCTATAGATTTGTCTTTTCAATCATGTGGCATAAAGTCTTTAAGTTTCACCCAAGTTGTATTCAATATATATAAGAAATTCATTGTTTCCTAACTGCTGAGTAGCATTCCATTTTATTAGGTCACCATAGTTCATCAATTTTCTCACTGAAACACCTTTAGGTTATGTTCAGTGTTTGGCAAGCATGACAAGAACTCCTATAAACACAGGTGTTTTTATATGAACATGTATATTCAATAATCTGAGTAGAATTGCTGAGACACGTGATAAGAATGAGGTCTGTCCAAAAAAAGTCCAGCCATTGTTAATATACTGAGAACAGTTGTGCGACATCGATGTAACCTTGCAGCCAAAGAGAGTGGACTGGAACACACATGCATGAACAATGGTGACTTCACTGTACTAATCAGGGGGGGCTGTAGACGCCACTGAGTGAGCATGTGTACCGTGTGGCTGTCACATTCAAAATGACTGAGGAAGCAGAGCAATGCATCTGCATCAAATTTTACGTTAAGCTTGAACATTCCTCTGCGAAAACTACTGGGACAATTCAGAAGGCTTTCTGGGATGAATGAATGAGTGCAGCGCAAATAGACGTGTGGCACAAATGCTTTGAAGATGATCAAGAATCTGTTGAAAGTGATCCACATTCTGGAGGGCCTACAACAAGCAGAACACCTGAGAATGTTGAATGTGTATAGGCTATACAGTCGACAAAGATCAGTGATTGACAATGCAAGAACTAGAAGCTGATCTGGGGAGTGCAAAAACTACAGTGTCCTAGATTGTGACACAGGATCTTGGCAAGACACATGTGGCAAAGTTGATTCTGTGGTTTCTGCTATCAGAGTGGAAGGAACATCATGCTGCAGTTGCTAATGACTTGATTCAAACTGCTACCAATGAGCCAGATCACCTCAAGAAGGTCACAACTGGAGATGAATCATGGGTGCCTGCTTTGAAAGGGACTGAGGCATCATTGTCCTACATACAATGTTTCTTGTATCTTGTTCAGTAAATGCCTCTATTTTTCATATTACATGGCTGGATACTTTCTGGACTGACCCTGTACATTTTCCCGGCTCTGACAGGAGTTCATAGTTCTGCCTTACCCTTCACTTCCTGCTAGCTTTCTCAAGATCAACAGGAGGAGAAATTACATTCCTTTACATCTTTCTTCGACATGGGATAGCTGTGCAGTCTCACGACTTTTGATTCCCAAAAATCTATGTAGAAGATTTTTAAATACCTTACAGACATCTCACTGACCACTCTTACCTACAGTTTTAGGTCAGCCGTATGCTAACCTCCAACTAGTAATGCTGACTCGGGTAGTTGTGGTGTTAAGTACTTGCTACTCACTGTTTATATCAAATGCCATGGGGAAAGGGCTTGTCACAAAGACTAAGCCCTAACTCAGTCAAATAAAGAGGAGGTCTGAGGATGGGGCTTTTCAGTGAGTTGCCAGATATGTCAAATAACAACAATTCCCTGGGGATAAGTTCTGGGGTAGATCCAAACCCATGATGCCTTCTCCAGTGGCTACAGGACACTGTTTTTCATAATGGCTGTAGTTGCAAAACTAAGGCAAGAAATATGGAATTAAGGCAAGTTTAAATAAAAAGCTTAATATTGTTATCAAAATTCAGTTATTTTTCTTGTATAAATATTCTCTGGCTTGTCGTAAGTCTTTTGGTATTTTCCAAGTACCTAAAAAAGTTGATTTTGACTTGTTTTGCCACTGTTCTTGTGCTTTTACAGAGGAATACCATTTTGAAGTCCTTACTTTCCATTCAAGAAGCATTTCTCTTTTTTAAAAATATAGTATTTGAAATAATTTCCTTATATACAACACATATTTAGGTAATTTTATAACATTTCAACTTTTATAAATTTTCAAGCCCTGTGTTCTTTAATAGTAGGCCATTCACGTTTTTTCCCTTTTTACTGAATTTATTGGGGTACACTGGGTAAAAAAATTATACAGTTTCACATTTCAGGTCTGAAGGGATTGACATGAAATATTT